AAAGTTTTTATGTCATCTTGTCTGAAAAAAGTCAAAACTTGATGGCAGCGAGTATGACGTACGTAACTAAATGTTTTAATCTCAAACAAAACTTTTAATTCTTCATGTACGCGTGTTGTTAAAATCTTTACTAATCCAAAGCAAACTTTGCAAATAACTTTAACTATTCGTTAGTTAGTATTTGTAATTCTGCATTACCGTAGTAAGCAATTAAACATAGGATATTTTTTCCACAGTCCGTCGTCGATGGAAGCCAGAGGCATGTGAACTGGTTTGTGCAGTAAAAACCTTGCCAAAGCAACCCCCCGCTGGAAAAGCTATTAATGGCTTCTCAATCGCGGCTTTCTGGTAGTACCACATCGAAACAAATCGGCGAATTGTAGAGGAATTGGTTGTCCCAACAACGGAGTCGAACCGGTTGACTTTTAGCATGCGCCTACTTACCAGTACTTTCCACTTTAAAGAGAAATACTTATAAAAGTGCATTTTCTCAAACTTCTCCGAATTTTTTAAAAGTTTTTTCTGTATCAGTGGTCCCACTTTGTTGCACTTTCAAAGCACACTTTAGTGACGATAGGTGGAGCTCGCAGGTTTTGGTTCCAGCCACTGGCGAGTGTTTCTTAACGGATACATCATCAATAATGGGATTTTGACTTTTGACTTCATTGATAGACATTTTCAGTATAAGAGCTTCACTTAATGGGCAAAAGTCAGTGCTTTTTTGAATAGCACTCTGCTAACCCACGTCTATTTGCAGCCTTTCATCACATCCCAGGCACGCAGAATGCTTTTGCTCTGTGCTACAAATTTATTTAGGTATGTCACAAACAAGTTAGAAATGTCCTTGAGTGAACATGTCCGCTGTCTTCCGCTCCCTCCCCAGCATTCTTTATAATTTGTTTGTTTGGCTAGTTTTTATTTGAAAAAGTGGTTGCAACTTGCCCGTTTTCGAAACTTTCATCCGCGTTTTTTCCTTCTGGGTGAGTGGAATCTGAGGAGTTCGCGTGCTTAAACATGTCTAGCACCGAATCGACGTTAAAACAGGCCGAATGAGGTCAGCGACGTCTTCGACTCCCAGGAAGAAGACACATCACTTCGAGACATCCTTTATCCTTGACTGTTCATATCGCTCAGTGAAAATATTTTCGGACGATGAAACTATGGGAATGGGGAAGGTGGTGAGACAGTATGCGAGGGCAGTAGTTTGCTTTTTTGGGAAGAGATTGGAATACTTAAAATTCATAAAAGCGAAAATTTTGAAAACCGATCGCCATTAACACCGGTTCTGCGATCCCATGCCAGTGGTGTTACTCAGATATCTTCGCACAGTTATTGCCAGGCTCTTCGTTTCCTGGACTGCACACCCCCGGGCATGTCCTACCGTCTTTTCGATGCATGTGTGCAACTTCTTCGAACACTTTCATTTGATCGTTTACAATTTCGCGCATACCATGCGCGACTTCTGAAAAATTATTTTTGGACAATTTCATCATGTTGGATTGAAAACACACTATTAAGTGCATAGTTTGCTTCTGTTTGTAATTCGTAAAAAGAACTGTTCTACTAGAAAAGTTCAGAAAATTTTCGGCATTCTTATCTTTGTCTCCACCAGCTATTTTTTCGTTAGCTTTAATTTTTCCATGTTTCTTTATTTCTCGTTGTTCAAAAACGCATCTTGTGATGACCCACAATGTGTGTGTTTGTTTGCATGTGTGTGTGTGTTTGTTTGTGTGTGTATTTGTGTGCGTATGTGCGTGTGTATGTGTGTATCTGTCTGTCTGTTTGTCCAGGTATTGCAACTGAGCAACTGGAGCTGAAATTTTGCCAAGCCAAACGCTATCCCAGAACCGCGGTACCGACTTTCACGTACGACTGAGCCCTGCGTACGAGCACGTGGAAGTTATGACGAGTAAATTGCTAACTTGGGAATAAGTACGCTAGGAACTTGGAATTCTGGGAAGATAGTTTTTGTCCAAGCGCGATTGCCCACTCGGGAATTAAAACAGCTGGAACATTCATTTGTCTTTTCACTCTATGCAGGATTTGCGGTGATTTATGGCGATGAGTGGCACAAGTTCAGTGTAAAGTAACAACCATTCGCACAGTTAGCGACCTAATTCAAGTTTAACGCAAAGACGCATGATCGTACCGGCAAGCTTAGTGCGTGACAGCCTGGGTTTTTTCATGTTTTTTATGCATTTTTGCATATTTAGTGTGGTATAAAAACAAATTGTCGAAAAATTGCCGACTTGTGTGTGTCTGTGTGCATGTGTGTGTCTGTTTGGATTTTCTTACCTACTTTCCACTTAGGAACCAGAAAAGCTAGGAAGCTGAAAACTTAAGGGGATGTTCTTAACCCAGGTATGATCCGGGCAATTTAAACTGAACGTTCAGGCACGCTTAAGTCTCATAAAGAGACGCCTAAGACAAAACGTGAAAATTTTTTGCCGGCGAAACGACTTCGAGGAACACACAAGACAGGGAGTTGAAATTTAACGCGGATCTTCTCTATCTTTGTCTGAGCGCAAGATTTCAAAGCCTCCCAAATTATTCCAGGTTATTTGCAGTATCGATAGCGCTACTTTGCCGGTGGGGATGATTATCCCAGATGGTTTTTTAGCTGAAATGAATTCAGACTGAAGTCAGTGGAACCGATAGGATAATCTGATTGTTTTGCATATCAAAGTGCGGCGAGTCAACCGATGAGTCAAAAATGAATCAAACGCGTTGCGTACTTTCGAAGCCAAAATGCAGTCATTCTTCACTTCAAA